GAAAGCTGAAATTTTAAGGGGATGTTTCCTGACAGTTCTAGCGGCCAGTCTTAATTTGTTTAGCTAAAAGCATTTGCCGAAAAAGACGGTGCTGGTAGCAACAAAAACTGCGGGGAACCATTCAAAAAACGCATCTTCGTACGGGCAGTCCGTGCGTTGGCCAATTTTCATTACTCTTAACAGGATCGGAGAACGGAGCCGGTCGAACACCAAAGCAGCGCGTACGTCACGCCGAGGAGCCCGTGCGTCACACCACAGTTTATCCGCGACACCATCCCTACTGATAACTGGTATTAAACGACTAGTAGCCGGCCTTATGCTACTTAAGCAGCTGGGGCTTTTCCTGTGCTACTAAAAAAGCGGTGATCCGTTTTTTACTCCGGATAGATTAGCGTAACTCCATCGACCTGAACCACCCAGAGAAGAGAGTGAGAAGAGCGTTTTTCCTGACACCAAGATTTCCATGCAGTCTCCAGTTTCAGCTCGTCCCCGACAAAAATCATAAGTTTTCTCTGCGCCGACTGAAAGCAGAGTTGCACATCACAGTGGATACGAATTCTAGAGGTTTATTCCACGCTCCTGTGGCAGCAAACTTCCTAGAATTTTATTTCAAAAAGAAACCAACAACGGCGAAATAGGATAATGTAACTGAACATTTCGTTAAAAGGCTGAGTGAATTGATCAGAGTGAATGGGAATGAAAGAATGATTGGCACAAAACGTGATTATGCACTTTGAATTGCACACCAAACTTATTGAAAGGTGTAATATTTTCGATTTGTGATATTAGATGATTTTCGGATCTCCAGAGAATCCAAACCAAGGAGACTGGATGAAAGGATCAGCTATAAGTTTGTCCACTCTACTTAAAAAGAAATCCTAGAAAAGAAATCCTCGGACTCTTTTGCACATTCGCTGAAGGTTAAAAATTAGTGGTTCTGAACTTGATGTTGTGCTCCTTCAGTTCGTGATTCACCGCAGAGCACCCTGCCGAAGCACAATCGCCGGGAAACCGGCATGTTTTGGTACAGTTCTGTTGCAATCAAATTACCCAAAAGCTGAAATATAATATCAACAAGCCCAATGATGCAAGAATCAAGGAGTATTGCTGTAGCGCCAGTGCCTCAAGCGATTACCGAAGACATCTTACTATGTACCAGGGTATTTTGGTAATATCACTCTTATTGTGAAATACTTTTACTTCAGTAACGCTACAGAAACAGAAACTTCAGGAATCAGAAAAAAACTTCAGCAACACCTTAACATTTCAGAAATACTTCCCAAGCCTCTATGAAAAGGATTTTTCGAAAAAGAAAAAGATGTTTTTATCTTTTGAAGGAGAAATTGCTGGGGTGGATGACCAATTAAGGAATCTAGGAAGTAAAGCCAAGATACGCATAAAACCACATTTTTGCTCCTACTAATTGCTGAAATGCACCTATGAGGCTCCAACTAAAAGAGCCGGTAGTTAACCGTTTTTCTTAAAAGTATTTCTTACAGCGAACTTATAACACAAAGTTATAATAATAACACACAAGGAATAAAAGTATTAATAAAAATATCGCAAAGCATAAAAGCGCTGACAAAGCATTAAAAGTATAAAGTATTGACAACGCATAAAAGTACTGACACAGCATAAAAGTATCGTACATCCGTGGCTGTGTAAAATGTAAAATTTATGAAATTGATGCTAAAGTTCGGTGCTTGGAAATTAACAGAAGCAAATCATTTTGAAAAAAAATCGACGAAATTCTTCATAGCTTCTCGCAAAACTGTTTCATCTTCTCGAAGCTGAGTGTGATATTTCTGAAAATGAGACTCAGCGAGCACATTAGAAGCTAGACACTTGATTGGCTACTTCGGCTGTTAAAGCAATCAACCGGAAAATGAATGGAAAGCAACCCAAAGAGTCGTAATACTTTGATCTCCTGTTGGTAGTTCTCCTAATCGGCAACGCGATAACGTTACTTTGACATAAGCCAACGGTATTTTTAAACAACTATAAAACTACCAATTGCTTCTGTTGCAAAAACAATTGAAATTTCCATATCGAATGCTGGTATGTCGCGAAATTTTCTCAAAAAAAAAAAAAAAAAATCTTTTGAGACTGAGTAAACAAACCTTCAAGTGCTCCCATCGTTTAACAGTTTCAGAGAATTTGATGGCCACTTCGTTAACAATCTTCTTTTTTGTGTTTTCTATCTCAATCTGCCGCGACTGCTGTTCTTTTTTGGCTTCGGCAAGTTGCTCGTAGGCCGAAAGCTGTAACAAAAATACGTTGACGTACAAAATCAGCCTATATCCTTGCTGAATGTAACATCTGCAGAAAGCTCTGTCAGCGGGACAGCCAAGTTCTCCACGATTCCTCATTCTTTTCGATGGTAAATTGGTACTGATGAATGCCAGGAAGTCAAAATAGCCATCAATTAGTACTAAGCAATTCTCGAAAGAAGAATTCGCCCTAATATGTCCATCTTTAAAAGAGGGAAAGAAATGCAAAGGATCATTTGCTTGTGTGTTACATTTACAAACTTCAAACAAACAAGTTGCATGTGTGTTACAAACTTCGGCGAACAAGTAATTAACAATTTGCTATAATAAAGTGATGCAACACACTTCTATTTATGTGAAACCTCTAATTTACGTGATATTTTTAGCTTACTAGCAGAGCACTGATGCTTCAACGAAAGCCCTTCAATGATAATCTTCTGCCATCACATTAATGATGTAGGCAGTGGTTAGCAAACGGGAAAAAAACCCACATACTTTGCCATTACGAACCGCATTGAGGCTGTCCAGTTCATTCTGCGCTACATCAACTTCCAAGTTCACTTTTCGCCGCTCATCATCCCAGTCTTCTCGTTTGATTGATATGCTATGAGCCTAAATTTTCTGTTATCACTTCTTGCAGAACTGCCGAGCTGGTAATTCTTTCAGCAAATGAACACAGTATTCACGAGAGCACAACGTGCATCATTGCTCATAGCTACCATGAATGTAATAAAAGGATGAAAATATCGGTCCTAGGCCTTGTGGAGATTGCTAGTACCTGCTCATAAACAGCGAAGAATATCCAGTATATCTAGATTTTTTCTAACAAAGAAAGGAAGCATGAAACACTACGGGACCTACCAAGCAGACAGTTGCAGTTTCAGTAACTTTCGCGCAAAAAATGAGCACTTTTTTTGTAAAAATTAGAGCCAAAAAGGTCACTAATTGTCATTTTCAGTTTTACCTGTTCCTTCTAATAGTTGTAATAACCGCTTTTGGGTTAAAAATTGGAACATTTTAACTTCTATGATAATATTTGTTGACTCAGAAGGCTGTAATTACTGTGGTACCAAGCAATGAAAACATAATTTTTGTCTATTTTTCGAAGAAATCAGCAACAGCATGAATCCTGATAAAGGATTATAAAAAATTAATTTTAATCCTAAAAGCTTATGAAAGTTTACCAATTTTGAGATCTGTCGTTGAAGCTTATTGAGTTCTGCAAGCAAACCAGCCTTCTCTCCCTTCAATTCAGTTGTGTTGTGATTTACAGACGCCAACTCGTTTTCCTTATTTATTATATTATCATTTACAGCATTCGAAAGTTCTTTCACCTTGTCCTGTAAACAAGTTAAATCAACAACGCAATAAGGGGATCATACAACTCTAGAGTGACTGACTGGGATGTTATTACTAGCGATGTTACTGGGATGCTAACATTTGTAAAGTGTAATTACATCAAGCTTCGCGATCCTGCGCTGTACAGCCTGCTGCCTAGCCTTTTCGCCATTCGTTGCCCATCCCCTGCTCAATGTGTACACCACCACATTGAAGGTCACACACTTTTCCACAGGTATCACACATCGCCATTCCACCCCAATCCGTTGTTGTCAACAAAGCGAGCAACACTCCCGGTCTACCGAAGTTTAATTTTCCGCATGGCCTTGCACGCTGTTCACCTGGTACAGAACAACTGTTTATAAGATCACGAACAGACAAACATCCTTCGCAGACACGAAGAGACAAACACGAACAGACAAGTCAAATATCCTTCGCTTCATCGCTCTCTTCGAAGCAGCCATCGCACACTCTTCAGCTTTCGTCAGCAACAAATTCCGTATCATTATGTGATCGCTTCCAGTATATTGTTGTTGGAGAGGTATCAGAACAGAAAAGACGGACCAGCCTAGCCTTCTCGCACTTCATATTATCTTTCCCTTCGATGCACATGGAAAGCCGGTTTCAAATTTGAGAAGAAATTAACGTGATCACGTTTTTGAAATTTTCTTTTCTCTTCCCGCTAACTCTTCGCTCCCTAAGCTATTTTGAATCCAAGCTTCAGTTTAAATGACTTCAAAGAGCTTAAAAAAAAATCTCGAATACAATAGAATTTCAATTCATGAATAACTGAAATAGAAATTCCGTTAAACTGGGACAATTTCAAACCTCAATCTCAACGGCAAACTCCAAAAAACCCGGTTCATTTGGTGAATGCTGCTTGAGGATCGCAATAAAAGAATCGTCCGGACCAGCTAAATCTTCAAGTATCCTGATCAGTTGCTGATAGCGTTCGCGCATCTAAAATCGAACGACTTTTTTGCAAATAGTATTGACTGTCTTTTTACCGCACTCCTTTCCAGCACGCTTTTCATTGAACTGAATTTCACAGAACCGTTTCTCACATTCTGCACTACTACCTCATTGACCCTTCCAAACTTGTCAAAAAAATTATGAGAATGGAAAGGCTCCAAAAGTTTTTCAAAATCTTTTCACAGTCTTATTTTTTCTTCGATTAAAATACCCTGATATTTCGGATGCATTACTAGGTACCTTTGAATGCAATCCGTTCTATCAGAACAACTTTGATGCTAACTGTAAAAACTTCAAACCAGAGATAAACACTTGGATACTTAGCCTAATGTGTTAAGCCAAAAGTCAGCCAACTCGTCGCTCTTACTTGTTCTCCAGCACTCATTCTGTGAGTCGTAGGCATCCAGAAATAATCGGAAAAGTAGGCAAAACATGTTCCCTGCCTGACTCACCTGTGTTGCCTCTTTAAAATTACTGGTAAGAAGCGCTTCTTTTTCGGCACGCGCATTTTGTAGCTGCTCATTCGCTTTTTCTATTTGAACTTTCAACTGAAAAAGAATAGATTATAAAAAACCGCAGTACTAAATAAATAAGACACCACGATCCTCCTGTGATGATGCGGAGATTTTCCTGATATGGTGCGAAAACTGTGAAGATTTGCTCAGTGATGTTGTCATTGCTCATGATAAACTAGCTGCGCTCTTACCAGTCCTCACACACTGGTTTCTCCTTCAGAGGCGCTGTAGATTAGTGCTTTTTGTACTGTTTTTTCTAATTCACCCACCGCATGTGTATGCGCTCTGTCTGACGGACCAATATATCTGTTGCAAAAGGAAGGAGCAAGTAACAAGGAAGCGAACTTGGAGCCTCAATCCCCTTCGCCTTGTCCAATTGCCCTTCGGTTTCTAATATATAAATGCCCCGTGTGTTGGCTCGAGTTCCCCCCTCCGTGATATTTAATGTGATAATTGAAAATGAAATGTGGAGTGTGTAA